TCGCATGTTTCAATCATTTTTCAAGAATACCAAATTGTACATAGTCTAAATTGAATGAAGTATTATTTATTGTTTTCTAAAACTACTTCTTATATTTTCTGTTTTACTTTTATTTCTTAAACACGGAAATCTTTAGAGATTCAACATAATTATCAACTTTCTCTACGAGATGGCGATATGCCATATGCCCATTCTGTGGTATGTTCAGTTACGATATGACTACTAGGCCTTTATAATCAACTGCATGAACAGGACTATGCTTCCTTCATATAATGAACTGTTTCCCTATACTCTATATTTTATTAAGGAATTATCCACAACGTAATTTAGTTTTTATCAATTATATATCACTTAATTATGTAAAAACACTTTACATCTGTGTCATCTTAAATGACCATTTAAACATTACGACGTATATTCCAATTTTTATAATGATGTAATTTTGTGGTTAAAATATATAATTACTCTAAAATATCTAATTAATATTTATAAAAAATTTAAACTGTAATATTTCAATCATGATAAATATTGAAATACGCGAGAATATCTAATTGATAAAAAAAATATATCATATGAGTATATCTCATTGATAATAATCACATAAACATAACGTTAACGAAAACACTGTACCATATGTAGTATATTAGCGAGTGTAGCGTAACTGACCAAAGAGACTCATGCTGTATACGATAGAGATTGACCATACAACTGCAACATAAAAAGTTTTTTCAGAGAATACGAAACTTCAAAATTTTGATGAAGTTCAGTTTATGGACTTTAATAAATTATCCTATGGATATGATAGAATACTGAAAATTAAGTAATTCACTTTGTACAGATAGCGATTTTCTATCAGTGTAATATTTCTCATTACACTTATCCCAGGGAGAGATAAAACACGTAATGACCAACTGAGTACAAACTCTATGAATGACCACTATTGCGTGTCATCTTAACCTGAGGCGAAGATTAACCCAACTATATGACTACCTACCCTGTTCACAAGGATGTTAAACAAAACGTTTTTAATAAATAACCCAGATACATTATTCTCTAGTTAGATGTTTAAATCTGCCAGTCTTAAACACTTACAGTATAAACATTTCTCTTACATGCTTAAATGAACATCCACACTTAATGATGTACAACTACATCACTCATCAACTTTAATAGTGTTTTTGTCTATACGTGTAGTTGTCATTATTTCCCCGATAACTCGTACTAATTGTTTTAGTTATTCTAAGTGAAACATGTTACAAACGTTTAGAATAAGTTAATTCGGTTCCTTATAATCATTATATTTTAAAATTAATTGTTTTACAATAGGATAAAAGTTAATATGTGTTGAGATATATAGGGTAGAGATTAAGGTTCACAAGTGTTAAGATATAAAAGGTCGAGATTAAAGTTCACAAGTGTTAAGATATAAAAGGTCGAGATTAAGGTTCACAAATGTTCAGATGTAACGGGTCGAGATGGTTCACAAATGTTCAGATGTAAAGAACTGAGTGTAAAGTTCATAAGTGTTAATATATAAATAGTCGAGAGAAGATATACAAATGCTCAAATATAAGGGCTCGAGACTAAGTTTCACAAGTGTTAAGATATAAAAAGTTAAGAGAAAGGTTTACAAATGTTCAGATGTAACAGGTCGAGATTGAGGTTCATAAGTGTTCAGCTGCAAGGAGAAAAAACTCAGATTCACAAGGGTTAAGATATAAAAGGTCGAGAGAAGGTTTACAAGTGTTCGGCTATAATGGGTCGAGATTAAGGTTTACAAGTGTTCAGATGTAAGGATTCGAAACTAAGATTTACAAGTGCTCAGATGTAAGGATTCGAAACTAAGATTCACAAGTGTTTAGATATAATGTGTCGAGATTCGTGGCACTACGATACTAAGAATAGAGACAGGGAAATGAGAAAATGCAAGTTAAAAATTTTCTTGTATCTTTTTAAATAATAACAAATACGTTAACTGTATTAATTCTTAATAAATTATACAGTTCATTTTCAAAACATGCTTATAGCTCCTTCATATCATAACAAAATATAATAATTTTTTTTATAGATGTGGCTAAACGTATGTTCGTGATATATTTCTAGTTGTTCACATGACCACGAGCAAGATGTAATATAGTTTATCCTTCTGACACTATACAAGCACTGCAACACGAGATAGGTAATAATTTCTGACGTAATCCAGCTACCTACGTAGTTCATAACCTTGACTAGGAGTAGGTTCAACGTAAGATGAACAACAGACCTACTCCTAGTCAAGTCAACGTAAGATGAACGACAAATCTACTCCTAGTCAAGTCAACGTAAGCTGAACGACAAACCTACTCCTAGTCAAGCCAACGTAAGCTGAACGACAGACCTACTCCTAGTCAAGTCAACGTAAGCTGAACGACAGACCTACTCCTAGTCAAGTCAACATAAGACGAACAGTAGATCTACATCTAGTCAATTCAGCGTAAGATGAACGACAGACCTACTCCTAGTCAAGTCAACGTAAGATGAACGACAGACCTACTCCTAGTCAAGTCAACGTAAGCTAAACTACAGACCTACTCCTAGTCAAGTCAACGTAAGCTGAACGACAGCGTAGTTCGTGGTTTGTTTAATAAAGTGTACCATGATAGTACCTAGTGCGTAGTTTGTGGTTTGTTTAATAAAGTGTATCATGATAGTACCTAGTGCGTAGTTCGTGGTTTGTTTAATAAAGTGTACTATGATAGTACCTAGTGCGTAGTTCGTGGTTTGTTTAATAAAGTGTACCATGA